ATCACTTCATGCATATGTCATATATTAATGTGACTCAACAACTCAATGCAACTCATGCAATGCGGTACCGACTTTCGTTATCTTTTTTCGGTTTTTACATTAAACCGGGTCCACACTTCTAGACCGATAACTCGTTATCATTTTTCGGTTTTTACTTTAAACCGGGTCCACCCTTCTAGACCGATAACAACCAAGCCCGTCCCCTAGGCTTCAAACCCACCCTTCTAGGTTTGGGACAAGCCACTAGTTTCCACGAAACTAACAGACATTGCCTCTTGACTGAATGATGCATGTACAATCAACCACAACAAATGCACTTAAGACCGACATCTTAATCTCATGCATTCGAATAATTCACCCCTTCGAGAATTTCATCATGATTGCACATACAACATATATCAAACATTTATCAATGTATTCATTTCTCACAACATCATATTCAACAACAATGCACACATATCACATATGTTCCCATGCATTCACACCACAATCGCATACATATATGCACTCACAATTCATTAGACGATACACATACATTTCTCAATCATCCAAAACCCATCATAATCACAAGCATACTTCATATATCCATGACATTTATGCTATTACCACATCATCAAACAATGCACATATATCCACGATATATTCCCATGCATTTCTCACAATTATTAACGATGCACACATATCCACGATATGTTCCCATGCATCTCTCACAATTATTAACGATGCACACATATCCACGATATGTTCCCATGCATCTCTCACAATTATTAACGATGCACACATATCCACGATATGTTCCCATGCATCTCTCACAATTATTAACGATGCACACATATCCACGATATGTTCCCATGCATCTCATACATTTATTAACATACATACAATATGCATTTACAACATCTATCAAGCAATGCACGCATAGCCATCATTATGCTCTCATGCATTCTTCATGTATTTTAACATACAATCACATATAAACAATATGCATCCACAACACATTTTTCATAGTATGTTTATTCTTTATCTCATGCCATCTCATACAAGGTATACACATCACAATACCAATCATACAATTATAAGTTATGCACACATATATCCACAATGTTCTCATGTATTTTAACCGATTACAATTAATCATTCATATCACAACTCTAGGATTCACGCCCGAAGGCTACCCACAGCACATGTTATCATAATAGTTCACATACTCATTCATAACATAGAAGTATTAACCTATGCGAATCAACCAAACAATCACCATTTGGATAACACAGCAAAGAAAATATACTGCCACATTCACCTTCATTCGCCTGGCGAACCCTCGCAGCGAACCTTCGCCTGGCCTTCGCCTGGCGAACTCTCTCAGCGAACACTCGCTAGGCTTCGCCTGGCGAGACTTCCCAGCGAGCCCAAGTCAGTAGCTACTGACTTCATTCGCCACCATTCGCCAGCACCTTCGCCGGGCGAACCTTCGCTATCCACCTTCGCTTGGCGAACTCGCCAGCGAAGTCCACTGGAACTTAATCATAATTACTCGCCAGCATTCGCTAGGCTTCGCCTTCGCTCGCCTGGCGAGAGCCAGCGAACCTGCGCAGAACAAAACCCTATTCTGCCTCTCCTTCATCAATCCATCATCAACCAAACCTCAAACATCCAAATCAGTACAAATAGCATCAATACATGTTACCCGACTATTCTACGGCATTATTACTCAGTTCCAACCGATTAAATCATCAATCTACCGATTAATCCAACATTTGCCCTAATTGGAAAGTGATGAAAAACATCCACAAACCCAAACCCAACATACAGAATAGCATACCATGATTAAATAGCAATGTTTCTCACCCTTACCTCGATTAATCGGAGCTTCGAAATTGGTTCTTGAAGATTCTCCAAGCTTTTCCCTTTTTCCTCTTCATTTCTCTTCTTCTTCTTTCTTTCTCTTTTCCTTTCTTTCTTTCTATCTTTCTCTTCCTCTCCAATCCCCTTTTATATCCTTTTATTTCTTTTCTTTCCTCTCTATTATTTTCTTTCCATTCCATTTCTCTCTTCACAATCATCTCATTTTATCATTAATTGTAAAATATCTACTAAGCCCACCTTATTCCACCAAATAAAATAAATTAGTTAGATCCATTAACTCATATTAAATAAATCTCATAACTTATTTAAATCAGATAAACCACCTAAACCAATCCATTAGTACAATTAATCAGTTATCGAAAATTGGGCTGTTACATAATGCGTGTTGTAGTCGAAGTTTGTTCTAACATGCATTAGTCAATATTGCTAGGGTTGTTAGCATGTTGAATTGGGTCTTGCTTGTAAGCCCAATTATTTAAGTTAGTTTGTACCCTAAGTTAGCTTGTAATGGGTAATTGTTAAAAAGTCCATTAGGTTAGTGTGCTATTATTCTTATAAATAGGATGCTAGTTTCTCAATCTTGACATAAGAAAAATAGGAAGATAAAATCTTAATTTTAAGAGAGAGATGTTATTTTGTTATTCTTGTATACTTGTAATCTTGTTTTAAGAGAAAGGAAAAAATAACAGTTTAATAACCAATCTTTGTTGTTTTCTTCTTTATTAACCCTAACTCTTGTGTGTTTTTTAATCAATAAGAAACTATTTATATTTAGTTTTAAGGTATCCGATTCACAATATATATATATATATATATATATATATATATATATATATATATATATATATATATATATATATATATATATATATATATATATATATATATATATATATATATATATATATATATATATATATATATATATATATATATATATATATATATATATATATATATATATATATATATATATATATATATTACAAAAATTTTATTTTTTAATAATAAATTTTTTTTAAATATGTATAAATTTTTAAAACAAATTAAATAAATTTAAATAATTTTTTTAAAAATATTGTGACAACTTAATCAATATTTAATTTTCTTTGAATCACGAGTAATTATATTATATATTATGTTCTTGAAATTTTTATTAATAGTTTAATTTTAAATATTATAATATTAATAAATTAATTTTTAATATTTTAATTTAATATTAATTCCGTTGTTTTTTTTAATATTTTATCAAAAATTTAGTTTTATATTTTACATTAAATGTTTTAGAAATAATTTAATAATTATTTTCTTATTATATTTATGTTTATTTCTAATCCAATTCATATTTAAAATTACTTTTTTATAACAGTAGAAACATGCTATGCTATATTCCATGATTAAGTATCATATTCTACTACGTCAAATAGTAAATTCTATTTATTTATTTTGGTACTTAAATCCAACCGAGAGAGCGTTTTCTCACAATAAGAAAATCCATAAAATTCAATAGTTCAATATACAAAATTCTTTAGAGTAAATTTACACAAGACCTAAGATTCATATTAAATTTTCTATAATTTACATTTCATTTATTTGTTTCAAAAAATATATCAATTAACAAATTTGGATACAACTTTTACACATTTTGATAAGATCAGGTGAATTTTATAATAAACGTGTCTTTGATCAAATATTTATCATTTTGTAGGTGACGTTTTAATAAAATGTTTAGAATCATTTTTAAAATCTACGTACCGTGCAATCCACCTCTATCAGCCACAATTTTAAGTCTATTACGCAATACCGTCAGATAAATCAAACCTTATTGCACCGACTTTAAAAGTGAATATAATGTTTGGAATCATATTTAAAACCTATCTACTACCTTGCAATCCACCTTTATCTGTCATAGTTTTGAGTTCGTTACGCAATATCGTCAGATAAATCAAACATTATCGCACCGATTTTAAAAGTGAATATAATGTTTGGAATCATATTTAAAACCTATCTACCACGCAATCCACCTATATCCGTCATAATTTTGAATTCATCACGCAATGTCGTTAGACAAACCAAACCTTATCGCACCGACTTTAAAAGTGAATATTATACTCTGCAATTATCTTAAAAATCATGTGAAATTGTACAAAAAAAAATTCATATCTCATGTCTGAAAATATATTTATTATGTAATACTTATCTCTAAACTTTTTGAAAATGGTCTTCTTTTAAATTTAATAGCGTTAATTATACGCATGCATTTCTATTTATTAAAATTTTAAAATTAAATTAATATATTTCTTAATTAAAATGTATCTTGAAAAACATAATTAACATTAAATAGTAAATCTCAATCTAATAATAAAATAAAATAAAATAATATCTTTGGTATGAAATAGCTATCTCTAAAGATAAAATCTTCCATGCATTCACCCAAAATTACATGGTGAAGTGAAAAAGATTGAGAGGTTGGTGTAAGATACAAGCAATCCATATATAGAGAATTGATTCACCCCATGAATATGAGTTGTGGTGATTAGTAAATAGTAATTACTAATTACTGATAATGCATGCAATGCAAGAGAGTAATTAATTAGAATGTGAGAGACATTAATTAATTAATTAATTAAAAAAAGTAATTAGCATGCTAATATCTTGCCACCAAGCTTTTGGTTGGAGTAGTTTCATTTCATTTGGTGAAGTGCGTTGGCAAAGTGTGAGAAAGAGAGTGTGAGACGGACTCTATCTATATATGTCCACTCTGCCACTCTCTCCATATTTGGTCACTTTCTGTTAAATTTTTTTCATTATTTTTGGGTCTCTTTTTTTCTTTAGTTAATTCTCTCTACCTATATTCTCTCAAATTTTTTTCCTTTTCTTAACTTACCTATAAATAAACACTTGTTCCATTCACAAATCAATCACAGTTACTGTATTGGGTGGCTTTTGACTCCCCCAACCCAATCCCTTTCTCTTTCTCTTTCTATATATATATAAATAACCACTCTCCTTTCTATATGCTACCTTACATTACATTACAATTCTCCTAACCCCTCTCTCTTTCTCTCTTAACTTTTAAGGTTAAGGTTCAATTCACCTTCTCTCTCTATCTATCTCTCTTAATCCAAATCAAAATGGAACCAGCCTCTGATCATCATCATCATCATCATCAAAATCATCAACAACTCTCTTTAGCCTCTAAGGAACTCAGCAATATCATCAAAGGGAAAAGAACCAAAAGGGTTAGGCCACAATCTCCTATTCCTTTTTCCATCACTGCTAATTCTTCAACTGGAGAAGGAGGTGAAAGAGAGGATTGTTACAATGGTGATGATGTCGTCAACAACAACAATATCAATATCAATATCATCCACAATAACAACAATACCTCTCCGACAACATCTTATGTCGAAGAGAAACAGGAAAGTGTTATGGATGATGAAGAACATGATATGGCAAACTGCTTGATTCTATTGGCACAAGGACAATCCAAGGAATCGCCGAAAACTACTGATGAATTGGATGGTGGAATGATGAACTACACAAAATACAGCAGCAGAAAGTTCATGGAAGCTGCTACTTTGGATTCTGGAAGAGCTGGTTTCTATGTTTATGAATGCAAAACATGTAACAGAACATTCCCTTCATTTCAAGCGCTTGGTGGCCATAGAGCAAGTCACAAAAAGCCAAAAGCATTGGCAATTGCTCAAGAGCGAAAACAGTTTTTTGATGATGATCAAGAGTTTCAATTCAAACCCAATCATAAGCCAGTTTCCCTTCAATTGAATAACAATGGTAAGGGAAATCTATACGGCGGAAACAACAACAACAAGTCTAAGGTTCATGAGTGTTCCATCTGCGGTTCTGAATTCACATCCGGACAAGCACTTGGTGGGCATATGAGGCGCCACCGCGCACCGGTGGGGTCATCAACTGCCAACACCACACTCTCGTTGACACCAATGGCTTTGGAGCCTGATGAAGATCATCAACCTAGAAAGAAAAGGAATGTTTTATCTTTGGATTTGGATCTCAACCTTCCTGCACCTGAAGATGATCACAAAGAATCAAAGTTTGCCTTTGCTTCCAAGCAACAACACCAACAACAGCATGGACAAAAACAACATCAACAACAACAACAGCAACAGCAGCAACAACAGCAGCCACAACAAACAAATCTCGTCTTCTCTGCACCAGCTCTGGTAGATTGTCATTACTAAAACAAGTGATAAGGTTTCGATTTTGGATTCAACAAGATGATCGTCAGATATCTATATCTGTCGATCATCTGACATATAAATCTAGAAATATATTATCTTATATATTCTTTTGATTCTCATTCAACTTGAACAAGCATCTGAAAACTTTTATAAATTCAGCTGTTTATTGAAGAATTTTTATAGTTTGTTCAATGAAAAGACCTCAACAACAAGTCATGTATAGATCATGTTGGGTATCTTTTTCATCTTTTTTATTTTCATTATTTTTTTATGCTATTTTTTTTTTCTGTGCCAAAGAATGTGATGATGTATTATGAATACAGAGAGAAAGAGAGGCATAAGGGGTTATTGGTACTATGTTAAAAATCTTTGTTTAAGCTACATTGTTTTGTTTACAAGAAAGGTTGTCTCTCTCTCTCTTACAGTGTGTTTATTATGTATGTGTCCCCTCATATTGGTTATGGAGATGGAATAAAAGTGTGGAAAGCCAGTGAGTAACTGATATTCTCACATGAAACCTCATGCTGTCCTTTTTCTCCTTTACCAATATGTTGACATTAAAATAATATTAAGGTTGAAACATGTAAATTGTAATTGAGATTACAAAAGAAATTTACTGTAAACTTTATGTATAATCTATTGGCGGAATTCCGATCTATAATCTACAAGGAGATTGATCCTTAAGTTTTATCTTTTAAAATTGATAATTTAAGTTATATTATGGTTGCATCGTTGCTCTTGTTGCATTTTCATTTTTTTATGTTGCATTTTGTGATTATGTAAACCACGACCTGTGTTTTACAACTATATAATACATTCATGTATCTATTCATCACTCACCACTAGAGATAAATTATTCATTATTCTTGATTTGTAAATTCCAACTGTTACTCTTGAATAAATATATTGCTCCAAATGAAAGTTTTCCGCCGGATTCTCACTTGATGATGATGCAAATTAACATCCTAATTCAATCATATTGAAATTAAGTCTCGGAGATGATTTTTTTCTATGCTTACGGTATATTTTACGAATTTTTTCAACCTAATAGATTGATAAGTTCTTCTGTGCTAGGTGATGAGATGCTCATCTATTTTTTTTAGGTTATTTTTTTAATGGTTAGAATGTGAGTTTATACCTTAGAAATTGACATAGCATGTCAACCAACGGAGTGCAACAAAGTGATCGGTTAAAGTCACTCTTTTTTATTTTTGTGTTACACTCTTCATAACATTAAAAATAATTGTAAGTTTCTTCTTCATGCCTTGTATCTTTATTTTCATCTCTAGTAAGAATATGTTTTTCTCTTAGAACATCTAATTATCTGTTATTAGAAAGGTCAGTGACATAAAAAAATTGTTTGTTTTAGGATGTCATGATATGAATGATTTGTTTACATAAATTGTCTTGCGAAGATTAACCCGAATGAGTTCTAATTCACCGATTTGTACATCAGTATTATTGTCAATTTATTTACACTTAAATAAAAACACTTTAAATATAACATAATCAATCTCTTGAATTTCCCCACATGCCCTAAAGTACTTTTTAGATGTCACTACATATGTCTTATCTTTAGAACTAAATAAGTGTTGAACATGTAACTCCACGTACACAAAAGGGAGTGAATTGTGGGGTTTGAAAAAAATTGATTTAAAGAAAAATTATCAGAGTTAGAAAACATTTTCTAAAAAAATGTTTCGATATGCAGTGGAAAATCAAGATAAAGAAAATAAGCGGAAAGTAAAAGTTAAGAGAAGAGAGATAACACTAAAGATTTGTAAAGGTTCTGTTTTAAGGAAGTGACGTACTTCTCTCCTCAAGAATTGTTCTTAAGAGTATCTAATAATTCTTAAGGGCTTTTAGAAGGTTAAGCTCAAGTCAAATGAAGCGGTTAGTCTTCACGTCAAATAATGAACAGAGGTTTCATGTTTACTTCTAACTAAACAATGGACATTTAAATGAAGCGGTTAGTCTTCACGTCAAATAATGAACAGAGGTTTGAGCGGTTAGTCTAAGTCAAACAAATATTTTTTATGAACTTATCTCAAACCAAGATGGAGTTTTGAGTTGTCTATCCTCTTAATTGAATTGAGGTTTTATATAAGGTTGATCGTGTATTGAACTGAGATTTTTTACAGGATTGATCTGGAACCGATTGAACTTTTATACAAGGATGGGCGCAAGAATTGATGTGAAGATTTATTATTGGTTATTCTTCACGAATCCAGAAGAAGAATTTGTTTTCAAGTAGCAGAGCTTACAAAACAAACGAAGACTAACAATAATCCCCCAAAAAGAGCTTTTAACAAGTTTAGCTACAAACTTAAACAATTACTTCCTAAGACAGAATAATTCATTCAAGAGGAAAAATAACTCTTGGTGATATTATAATAATACTCATTCCGTAACAACTTCCTAACTAAACTCAATAACGTTTTTCAAAGTGATACGGTTAAAAATATGTGAGAGAATGAAAAAATAATTTAGAGAGGGATTGAGAGAGAGAGAGAGAGGAATATGAGATATCTCACATTTTCTGAATGTTTACAAATGAAGAGCAAGACCTCTATTTATAGGCCAAATGATGGTTCAATAAAGAAAACAATCAATGGGAGAAATTAATGTCTCAATTACCTAATCGATTAGGAACATGCAATAAACGATTATTGTTGCCCAAATTAGAAGGTTTTGATAGAGAATTGTTATCATTCGTTAAGACACTAACATAATCGATTATAGACTTATTTCTTACTTATCTAATCAATTAGGAACTTGGCTTGATCTATTAGGCAGTTCAAAAACTTGTCCTAATCAATCTAACAGTTCCCTAATCATTTGACTATACTCCAAAAATGTTTTAGGTGCTTTTATTTGAAATTGAGTATTCAAAAATAGTTTTAGTGTGTGTTTTATTTTTCCATATTACTTAAATAGATATGATCATGCAAGCTTTCAGACTATCTCCATCTAACACTATGAAACTTCAAATCTTTTTGTCGGATATACCAATCATATAAGCATGTCTATTGAATCTTCTTGTGGATGAGACTTGAGATATCTTCAAGTGAGATTCCATCATAAGAGGATATTACTGGCTATCATAAAACTCTGGTTCTTTAACTTGTTTTGGAGGAATAACTTGATCAACTATCTTATGAATTTTTGACTGCTTGAATGCACTTTAGAACTTGCTTGTTGTTGTCATGAAAGTTTCTTTAAAGGATGTTACGTCTTTATGTGTTTTCAACATAAAAATCATGATGTTATCAGGGTTAGGAAAATCTTGTTATATATATATATATATATATATATATATATATATATATATATATATATATATATATATATATATATATATATATATATATATATATATATATATATATATATATATATATATATATATATATATATATATATATGAGCTTTGATCACTTCTTGATTAAACCTCCAAGCACATAGTTCTATATTCTCTCCCTTTTTTATGATGATAACACGTCTCTCATTGAGGTGGTAAAAGAAAAATAGGTAGATAAAAATTTAAAGTGTTTAAACTTCCCCCTCACATGAGTAGAGAGTATACTTTACCCCCTTGAGAGTATACTACTCTTTATTTATCATAATAAAAAAGGTTAGTAAAAAGGCAAGACAAAATTTTATTATGCAAGGATATTGTTCACATAGACAAACATATTAAAGGGAAAAACATTGCATTGATTCAAATCATACTGGAATTCAAAGTACATAAAGTATAGAAATTCTAAGAATTTAAAAAATTCAAAACAATGGAAAAAACACTTGAAAAAACTAAAACAAATAAGTGACACTACTTTTCATTATCCTCATCATCATTAGTGAACATCCCTGGAGGTAGTTGTATCACTTCACTTATCCAATTTGTTTCAATTTTATTTGCAATCACCCATATAATTGCAATGTCAAATCTACTTAGGTGGATGAAGTTGTTTTTTCTTGGAAAGATTATGTGATTTACCATCCAACTGTGAAAGGGGAAAGTATGGAAGATTTTGGATTGATCATAAATGAAGAGGTGACTATTTTGTAGTTGAAGTTGTCCCCTTATTCATTTGGATTGAAGACAACTCCCTCATGAGGAAGATCTAAAATGTTTGTAAATTCTTCTAATGGTAGGGATATCTTGTGCTTTCTTACTCCAGAATAAATTATTCCACCAGTGAAGTATAGATTTGAAAAGAACATTTGGATCAACGATGTGTATACTTTTATTGGAGGGTTGTAGATCAAAGATCTTGAAGAATTCATATTCTTAAAAAACTCCAGCATCTAAAATGTGAATTTCCAAGACGGTCCTGCTTGCAAAATTCTAAAAGTACATTCCTTCTTGTTGTTGTGATGAGAGAACATCGATGAAAGGGGATGGTGGAGAGACAAATCTCTGTCTTCTGGGTGTCATGATGATGATGGAATACTGAATTAGTATTCTCACACACAAATATGCATGGCAACGGGGCGAGTCAGGGATTGTTTTTACCTCCCCCAAACTCAAACTTGAATCCTCAAAGAATCCCTGTTCCCCGCCCCAAAATCCAACAGTGATAGATAATTAAAACTCAAACCCGTCCCAAACGTATTTGGGTTGGGTTCGGTTATTCCTGCCTCGCCACCACACATTTAGTAAAATCAATTTTTTAAATAAAAATATTTATTTTTTCAAAATTAAATTACATTACAAATGATAAAATAAAATAATCTCAAAAATATTTATACATACATTTTAAATAATTAATACAAATCAAAACATCAAAATAATTTCCACATATTTAATATTCCAAATTATCTAAACTAAATAATAATGTACATAATGAAATAAACGGGGTAGGTTCGGAGTGGGTACTAGTTTCCTAATTATCCGACCTGTCCCTATTATTTTAAATCAGAGAAAACTCAAACCCAGTCAAAACGAGCTTTCCCCGTCAACTTCAGTGCGGGTTCGAGTGGATACCCACATATACGAG